CTTGCCTCTAAGCGGCTACTTGAGCAGCGAAACCGGCACGAGCATTTGCATTTACTTCTGCTTTCACTTATTCTTTTCGAACTTTTTTTCATTCTTCTTTGGGTGTTAGCTTTCTTTTTTCTTGTGCTGCAGCAAATGCCGCAGAATGCTTGTCAGTAATTTGTCATTCTCCACGGCGTCCTCCCACTTATTTGTTCCGCTTTGCAGGAGAAGGACAATGGATGGCGCAGAATTCAATGGCAATTAAAGGCAGTTCAGACAAGACAATGTCTGAGTTTATTTGCCAATTATATGAAATAATTGTTCATAAATAAAGCGTGACCTTTTTTTGCATTTAAGATTGCAAAATAAAATGGAATAAAAAATTATGAAAGTTTGCAGATAAAATCAAGTTTGTTTTTATGAGTCAATAATCAACTTTAAATATTTTTTATCATCACTTAAATAATACAAAAATTAATGTATTTTTACAAATTATATTACTTTTAAGTGTGCATAAATTTAATTCTATTATTGCAACAAAAATCCTTAGCCAAACAGCTTTAATGAACGTAATAAGCAAATTAAAGATTTAAAGATACAATTGAATAGAAGGGAATCAGCATTCATCTCCTTTTATGACGAGAAGAGCAGAGCTCGTGATTGTTGATGTCGCAGCTCGCCTTATTTATTGACTGTTAAACTTTTCATTAGCCATTTCGTTTAATTCGCACACAATGGCGTGAGAGTTAAGAGGGCACCGCGGGCAGAGAGAGCAGAGAAAGCAGGAGAATGCGGAGAAAGCAGGGGAAAGCCCCAACAATGGCGTGGAGAAAATGGCAGCGGAAATACGCAGCATCACAAACAAACAACCAGCGGCACTAAGTATAATGTATTTGTGGTGAAAGGCAACCACAGTGGCAGCTTTATTGCCAATGTGTGTAGGTTTGTGTGTGCCTGGGAGTGTGTGCGTGAATCAAAGATACAATCAGTGCGCAATTGTCTGCGTTGATGAGCAGCAGGATCTGAAAGTCGCCCGTCCTTAAACCGACCAATTCCCAAGCCATTGCCCCTACAATATTTGCTCATCTCAGCTCCCTGCTCTTTTTTTATGGCGAAAAACGCCGCGTAATCACAATGATAATCATGACGCATCCCAATACCAAAGGGAACTTGACGAAATATATATAATTTATATTATTACAGTGCTGAATAAAAAGCTTTTCATCTTGGTCATGATAAAAAAAGTGTATGTGGATTGCAATTTGTATGTAAGCTTATTTAGTTTCGAAATTAAAGAAATGCAAACATTTTAAATATCAATATGCTGCTGATTAAGTAACTCATTCAAAAAAACTTGACGAAATGCATAAAATTTATATTGTAAAAGTGCTCAATAAAGCTTTTTATTTTGGTTAAGCTATTTAGTTTCAAAATTAAAGAAATGCAAACCCTTTAAATAATAATATGCTGATTAATTTTAAACATTATTTTATTTTACCCATCATTCCATTATAATATTATGAAAGCTGTAATCAAAAATGGAAATGTGTTGCATGTTTATTCTAATTAAATTTAAATTTAATTTTTGTATTCGCTAGTATTACAAACGGAATTATTGTTTTTTTTTTTAAATTTGGGGCACTCAAATGATTATTACAATTACCTACATTTTATTTGCACAGTAAATGCATTTATTAAATTGTTATTTGCCATAATTGAAATGCGCAACGTAAGAAGCATTTGCCTTTGTGATTTTGAACCGTAATCAACTAGTCAATTGATGTGTAAAATTGGTAAGGCTAAACGCTCTACTTGAATACCATCACTAATTGGATTCAATTTGAAATATGTTTGCAAATGTAATTTGTGCACACATTACATTGAATATAGACTAAGGACTACTAGTATATAGTACGAATCATGTGTCATTCTCCCTGAAAATGTTCAGAACAATGAACGGATTTTCACATGTTTTGCACAAGCTAACAGAACTTAACCTGCTTTTCCGTCTGTTTGGGCCACAAGTAGGTATTTTAAGCGCATTTTCTTGGAGTCACCTTAAAGGCGACGACTTTCGGATTGAATGGGAAACTTAGTAAAATAGCAAACAACTTACAGCGAAATGTACTCGCACTGCAATGTATTCTATTTAAGGGGTTATAAACCTTTTCCAAAACAAAAAAAAAAAAAAAAAATAAAATTTTTTTTTAAAAAAAAAAAAAAAAAAAATTTTTAAAAAAAAATTTTAAAAAAAAGAAGAAAAAAAAAAAAAAAAAAAAAAGAAAGGAATAGGGGGGGGGGGAGGGAAAAAAAAAAAAAAAAAAAAAAAAAAAAAAAATCGAAAAGGAATTTTTTAAAAAAAGAAATTATTTGAGGAGGAGAAAATGGGAAAAAAAAAACACATAAAACAAAAAAAAATAAAGGGGGGTTTTTTAAAAAAAAAAAAAATATTTAAAAAAAAAAAAAAAATTTAAAAAAAATTTTTTTTTTTTTAAAAAAAAAAAAAAATTAAAAAAAAAAAAAAAAAAATTGATTAAAAAAAAAAAAAAATAATAAAAAAAAAAAAATAATTTAAAAAAATCCTTTTTTCAAAAAAAAGAAAAAAAAAAAAAAAAAAAAAATTTTTTTTTATTTTTATTAAAAAGGGTTTTTTTTTTTTTACCCCCACCGAACCCCTAAAAAAAAAAAGTACTTGGGAAAGAAAAAAAAAAAAACAATAAAAAAAATAAAAATTAAAAAAAAAAAAAATAAAAAATTAAAAAAAAAAAAAAAAAAAAAAAAAAAAAAAATTTAAAAAAAAAAAAAAAAAAAAAAAAAAAAAAAAAAAAAAAAAAAAAAAAAAATAATTTAAAAAAAGAAAAAAAAAAAATTAATGCTCATGCGAACAAGGCTTGTGTGTCTGTGCATGTATTATTTGTGCTAAAAACGTCGGCGAGCTGACAGCGTGATGCCAGTCAGCCAGCAATGGCCCGCATAAGTATGCTACAAAAGTGTGTAGTCTAGAAGGATACCGACGCACACACACACACATACACCCACACCCACACACAGGCGGGTCTTAAACAAGCATTCGAGTAGTGTGACATATTACAACGCCCCAACTTCCCCGTTCTGGATCCATTTCGCCCCCATTGCAGTCCACAGACCTTTAAGCGAAACTGAAACCGAAGCTTTCATCCATTTAGATGGCAAATGTCCGTAGGAGATTTATTTATATATATATATGTATGTATAACTATATGTATTAGTGCAAAAGTAACGAGCGGTTTTCGTAGCAGCTACTCACTGACAAAAAATATTATTCAAAAACATATATATTTCAAATTACTTAAACTACTAATTACAATAAAATATTTACTGAAAAGACCTGCAGCAAATCTAGATACTTTCAAATGTTATGGTTTTCATTTTAAACATTTCTTTTGCTTACAGGGAAAAACTTGAATCAATAACAGAAATATTCAAAATACAAGCACTAAATATAATTATTCCATTAGTTTTTCTCTCAGCTTTATTATGATTTAAATTAAATGCTTATATAAGTGCAGTAATTATTTGTAGTGTTACACCCACAAACCGCCCGATGACGCCACATTCAAGTGATTCTTTGTGTACCACAATATTTTATTTTTTGTTAAGAAAATGTGTCAATTTAATGGCATTGCTTTATGGACGTGGTGGATTTGAAAATGGCTGGCCCACCAACGCAAGAATGCATTTCCCACAATTTTCTACTTTCAGTTGATATTTTATTTTCCCTTTTTTGTGGTCATTGCTGCGGTTTGTGGAAAAAAAAACAAAGCAAGATAGAATTTATACGATGATGATGCAATTACAATTGAGTTGTTAATTTTGCAAAGTGCGGTTAACCGAGCGGGCAAAATATGTTGCCAGCAATAAAATTAACAGGCTTTGTACGGTTCTCAGTGGTCAGAAAAACTGACTAAATATATTTTATATATTATATGCAATTAAAAACATTTAAAGTTACCTCAAAAACGGAAAGATTTATGTTTTTAATTATTTTTTGCATATAACTCGAAATAAAATCCCCAAAAGAGCAACCGAAAAATATCATGGGAATTTTCTCTTAATCGCCCCTTCTCACATTGCCCATTAACGAAATCATAAATTATTAACTAGGCACGAAAATCTGCAGCTGGATAAATGCTCTCAGCCAGAAAAGTGCGCTCGAGCAGACAAGGGCCCCAAGTCGAAGGGGATTTCGTATATCCCCAAAAAAAAAAAAGCACAGCCACACACGAGAATGATGATGATCATGATGATGTTGATGATGTTGATGATGTTGATGATGATTATGGCCCGATGACGATGCTGATAATGGAGCTTACAACTCAAAGCCAGCACACAGTTATTTACATGAAAGTACAAATACAGAAACTCTGACGGAAAGTGAACCACACTCACAGGCAAGAGCCAACATTTCCGGCTGTAACACAAACTGTGAACAATTTCACTAGTTCTATTTTGTTTTTCTTATGTTTTCCTTTTCATATTGTTGGCAAGGATAAAGGGCCCCGTATCGCTTCCATTGTTTTGCCAGGCGTAATCACAACAATGCCCAAATAATGACGGAAATACACGGAGCTATCCTGGCCCAATATCCTGTCCAACAAAAAAAAATACAATGTCGATAGCCCATGTGAGCAAAATTGGATAGTGTGTGTCTACAGCTACACAAATATGGCAAATATATTAAATCAACAGGAAGTGCTACGTGATTTGGCAATGCCTAGGACAAACACAAACAATAACCCCAACTATTGCGGCAGAAGCACGAAAACTTAAAGCCAACTGCCAGCAAGATATCTACGAAATTTATCGACCAATACTTTCAGTAGATTCTTTTATATTTTATCAATTTGATCTGATTTTATATATAACATTTTAGTTGAAAGTTAATAATATCCTCTGCAATATTAATTTGGCTTAATTTTTAATATATATTTACAATTTTAATTACATAGTTAGTTTGCCATATTGACTTTATAACTCACCTTATTCCGCCCACATTGAGTATAATCCGATTTTCGCCATCCATGTTGCATGCAACAGTTGTGGCAACAGCAGCCGCATGCCAAACTAATTCTGGGACGGCCCTCCAGCAGGTTGAACAAAGATTTCGATATCCCTCTACTTGCTTTCACGAGTTGCAACCTTATTATTTCACGAGAAGCTCACAAATACGAACACTCAGGCACTCGCGGTCCACACGGCGTATGAGCAATCTGCAGCCGCTGTGAAATACTTTTTAATTAGGCTTGGGCGCAGGTTGCACTTCCTCCTTATTTTTTTTTTTATTTATATTTTGTGGTTCTTCAGCACTCGCAGCTGAGTTTGTTTTGCACTTGCATTTGGATTTCGGCTTTGGCTTTGGGTTTATGGTTTCAGCTTCGCCTATCTCTTCCCTCCATCGTCTTTTTTTACATTTGGCCCTCGGCGTCTCGTTTGTCCTTTGACTGAAAATAAAAAGGAAACAAAATGGATTCCAAGGATTTTAGTCGAGTAATATGCATACCAAGATTGGGTTAATATCTGTGCAGTAATGCGCTGTGCGCCCTTAAGCTAAAATTTTCATGCATATATAATATATAAGTTACAATTTATGTGTATGCAAATACTTAAGGCAAATCCCAGTTGCGCAAAAGTGCGCCACTGTCGAAACTATTTCCCTTTGACAAAGACAAATTTAATTAGATATTTTAGTGGAGGGAATTTCCCAAGTATTTCTTCAACGCAAGTGCTATCCGAGTTAAAGTTTAATTGGAATTTAAATTGCAAGGTGGTTGACAACTGGTTGACTTTGTTGTGTATTCAAAAAGTTTTACTTTGAGTACACATTTGGTTGAAAGTTTCTAATTCAGTTGTCAATTCTCGAGATATTATTATCACCTTTAAAAGTAGGATATCATTTCTGCTGACAAAAACTAAAACCAAGTAATCTCCTAAGGCAGAAAGCGGAGTGAATTTGGTTATATGGGATTTATAGCTTTCTTGGTATTGCCAAACAATCAATAAATCTGAGTGTTTGGGCTGGTAAAATAGGACTTTTAAACTTATACAGAATAACATAGACTAGTTAGAATTCAAACCTAAACATATATTCACAAGATAAAATAATCATACTTTGTAAAGACGCACATTTACAATTGTATAAAAATTCCTTTAAATCGATAATAATAATTTAAAAACTGTTAGCTATAGGAATGTTGTCCAATTGTCCGCTGAAAATTCAATTTAACTTATATAAACAAGAAGAAATAATGGCCTGAATGCATTAAAAGTTTGCGTTACATGAAAATACACTTTTAATTGAATAAACGCAACGTCACTCATACGCCACATCAGCCCATCTGTTGAATAAGAGCTGTTAAAATAAAAAAAACTAAAAACACACATAACACTATAGGTAACACTCTGTAGAGCAAAGAAAGGAGTTTTAGGTGCCGGCCATTTGAGTCTAAAAAGTTTTGCTGTTGATATAAATATGTTGATAAAGTTTCAGTCATGCACGTTTTCAATATTTCGTTGCAAATAAAATTTGTAGAGGTTTATCCCGTATTTAAGAGCTGTAACAAACCGGAATGCAGTTAGTTACGAAGATTGGGTCTCGCAGGTCTTAAACATGTTGAGGTACTTTTACTTTTTATGGCTCTTCACTGTTTGCGGACTGTGGGGAAACCAGGCTCAAAACCAGGAGCCAGCTTTGATTGATCAGATTGCCAACCACCAGTAACAGTGGTTCAGATACACAGCGGCAAATCAGGCTGAGAGTCATGCAAAAATAGACAGACTGAAGGAAGAGATGGAAGGCCAACTACAGGTGCTACAGGTTAATACAGAAATCCAACAATCGAATACAAACAGAATGAAGGAAGGCCAACTAAAAGCGCTCCCTATGAAAATATAATTCCAACTTCAGGCGCTTCACGACATTGAAAAGATGGGCTTGAGGTACTTCTACATTGAAAAGCAAGATCGAGTTAATTGGCTTACTGCCTTTAACAAATGTCGTTAAGTCGGTGGTTATCTGGCTACAATCAACGATGACATGGAACGACGGAATGTCGGAAACCGGATTGATGAAGGGGGTTCATTTTGGTTGGATATCCACTCATTGGCCAAAAACGGCACGATTCTTTCCACTCACACCGGGGTGTGCCACCATACTTTAGCTGGCATGACGGGGAACCGCGTTACAAAAATTGTGGAGAAATCTACCTCGGGAAAATGCAAATTGACAGTTGTTTTGAGGAACACCTAATTATTTGCCAAAGTGACTTATGAGACTAGATACATTAATTTGTGCGATATCAATTTAAATGTTCTGCTCGTTATTTATTTTTTGAAAATCATTTGGTTTACAGGATATCGTTTTGCTCTTCGAGTAATGGGTATAACCAGACTAAAATGAAGCAATGAACATGGACGTGGATAACGCTGACTTCGAGTTGGAGTCCAAATTAGATAACGAGAGTCAGTTAGTGCCTGCAGAAAAGGGAAAAATCCAAAACAATGCTGCCCACATCGGTCTTAAAAAAAAAATCAGCACCAGTAGCAAATTCATTCCAAAATGGGAAGGCGAAAGGAATAGTTTTGCTGGAAACAAAACTACGGAAAAACTAAATAGAGAAAGTTTTGGGTCAAACAAAACGTTTCCCTTTCGCTGCAGCGAAATAATGTGCAAATGAAGAGTGCAGCAAATGGCAACACACACAGACCCATAAATCGAGTCGCGTTTTACTTGTAAATTAGAGTCGGAAGGGGCCAACGAAACTGGCGATGATGGCGAAAATCAATGGCCAAGTGGCGGACTCCTTCGACGACGCGGGAAACGTACTGCGGACAAGGTCGGCCCAGCCATTGTCCATTTGTCCAATTGTCCAGGGCGGAAACAACCCGAGCCAAGTGCCAACCAAGAGCAGCAAGGAGGAAAGAAAATTCTGCAAAGAAGGGGGATATCCTTCTCCTGATATCGAAAAAAAACCTACAACTTTAAGATTATTTTCAATCTTTAAACCGCCGAATACTCTTGCAAGAGTTAAATTACTAATCGATTGCAAACCTTTTGTTCGTAAACTATTATAAAGGCTTACAAGTGGACAAAGAATGTGTATTTAAAATTGAATTACCAGGCGATGAATAAAACACATTTAACAACCAAGCTTAAAAAGCAATGAGTAAATAATAATTATAACAAATAACGACTGGCTTCTTAATATTTTATTTTAATTTGTCATCCATTATGGTTATAAAAAAGTTAAAGTTTTTAGTTAAAATTACTTCGTTTCTATTCTTGCACTCTGTATTCCCAATTCAAGAAATGTATATGAAATTGATTGCAAGTCACATAGTAAATGAAAACTCTTTGACTTTAATTCTAAAGACAAATGTGTCGAGAAAATGTGTTGGTTCCATTAATCATCTAAGAAACACTATAAGACAGCCTCAACATTTTTAAATTTAGGAGACCCATCTTTTGACGAACGACGCAACTCATCGTATCACTTTGTGAAATCAAGTCGGGAGTGGTGGCAGCAGAAGAGCCCGACAGAAATAACGCATACGCCAAGTAAGCCCCGAAAGCAGGGAGCGGAATGAATTTGGGTAAATTTGCAGAAGTAAGAATGAAGAGAATTCATACATATACATGCCAGTATTTACTATAAGTTCGCATTTTTTATGAAAAATCCATTAAATTGATAATTAGAATATAAAAACTATAGAAATGTTGTCCAATTGTCTGCTGAAAATTCAATTTCACTTGCATTATTGAAGGAGCTCCATGCGCGTGTGCATCAGGCTTGAGCAATAAAATATTCTCTATAAAAAAACAAGTGAGTTTTGAGTGCATCATTTGTTTCTAAAATATTGTAATCACTTAAAGACTTGTCCACAAAGGTTGCTGTGCACTCCGCACTCCCAAAGAAAACTCTTTAGCACAAAATAAATTCAGTTTCCTGAAAAACTCGACCTTCATTTGGTGGCATTTACACATGTTAATAAGGTTTCGGTCACGCATATTTTCATTACTCCTTTGCAAACTGAATCCGTTATGGCTTATCACATATTTAAGAGCTGTAACAAACCGGAATGCAGTTAGTTACGAAGATTAAGTCTTACAGGATTTACACACTCAATATGCGGAGGTACTCCTATTTTGTATGGCTCTTCATCGTTTGCGGACTGTGGGGAACCCAAGCTCAAAACGAGGAGTCGTGCTTACTTGAACAGATTTCCACGCACCAGCAACAGTGGTTCATAAACGTAGCGGCAAATCAGGTTACAACGCATGCAAAAATAGACGAACTGAAGAAAGAGATGAAAGGTCAACTACAGGCGCTACAGGTGAAAATAGATATCCAACAACATAAAATTGACAGAACGAAGGAAGATATCGAAGGCCAACTGAAAGCGCTGCAGAAGAAAATAGAATCCCAATATCAGACGCTTCTCGACACTGTGAAGTGTGAAAAACCACAAACTGAACTGAAACCTCCATACTCGTTTTTCGAAAAGATAGGCTCAAGGTACTTCTACATTGAAAAGAACCGTAGAGAAAGTTGGTTTGAAGCCTTTAACTCATGTCGTCAAATCGGTGGTTACTTGGCAACATTCATCAATGAGAAGGAAGTAGAGCAGGTCGCCAACCGGCTTGAAGGCGTTGTAGACCCAATGTGGTTGGATATCCACTCATTGGCCAAACCCCGCACGTTTCTTTCCACTCGCACCGGAGAGCGTCCACAGTACTTGAATTGGGATGTCAATGAACCGGGTATCAAAAATTTTAGTTGTGTGCAACTGTACAAAAAAAAATTGAAGTTCAAGAATGTTTTTATACTCGCCGATTTATTTGTCAACGTGACATATGAGACTAGGTGCATATAGGTACATATATCTGTACGATATGAATATAAATATTCTGCTCGTTCTTTCCTTTTTTTTTTGTTTTGATAACACAGTCTTACAAAATTAAAAAAATTTTGCAACGGAGATGGGGGTGTATTTTTTTGTGTTGGGGGTGACGAAAGACTACAAAAAACATCAAAAAAAGGGTTAGTTAGCCGTAGAAATTTCGCAGTAGAGGCATTTTTTAATTTTTCGCCTTTTTTCGAAACTATAAAAAATAAAACAAATAAAAACACATTTAACAAGCAAGCTTAAAAAGCGATGAGTAAATAATAATTTTAACAAATATAAGCCAGTCGTAATATTTTGAGGTTTTTAGTTTAATTTCTTTGGTTTCTATTCTTGTATTCTGTATTCCCAATTCCAGATATATAAAATTGACTGCAAGAAACTTCGAAAATGAGAAGAAAAACTCTACGCGACTTGTTTGCTTGCAGGCAAAATGCAGCCAAACGACAAAAACCCGGATTGATTTTATTGTTTGCGACTGCCTGCCTTAAAATGCATTATTTATCAGTTTCAAACAAAAGTTTCCAGAGTTAAAATCTTGACCACAGTTTCGTGAACTAATATAAAAATGTATGAAAATCAAAGAACACAGTTAACTTCAGACAAAAAAAATTCTGAAATCGCCTCAAGATTTTCTATGCGGGGATCATAAATAAATATCCCGCTTTGATAGCGATGGGCCAAAGAATCTTAAAAACTATTTTCCTAAAAAGCCAAACACCAGAAAAAGAAATATAGTTTTCTGAAAAACTCAAACCGTGTCAGCGTGTTTAATTTAGTGGCCTTTAACATATTTAAGATACGTTGATAAAGTTTCGGTCAAGCGTATTTTCATTATTTTTTTGCAAACTGAATTTGTTGCGGCATATCACATATAAAGGGGCTTTAACAAACCGAGAAGCAGTTAGTTACGAAGATTGGGTCTTACAGGATTTACACACTCAATATGCGAAGGTACTCCTATTTTTTATGGCTCTTCACCGTTTGCGGACTGTGGGGAAGCCAGGCCAAAAACCAGGAGAAATGCTCAGTTCATGAGATTGCCACGAATCAGCAAAAGTGGTTCGGATACACATCGGAAAATCAGGCAGAAACTCATGCGAAAATAGACAAACTGAAGGCAGAGTTGGAAGGCCAACTACAGGCGCTACAGGTGAATACGGAACTCCAACAACAGACGCTAAAGGACGTTATGGAGTCTCAAAAGGGAGTCATAAAACCGAAAATAAACAAAATGAAGGACGAGATGGAAGGCCAACTACAGGCGCTACAGAAGAAAACGGAAATCCTACTTCAGGAGCTACGGGAAATTGCGTTGACTCAAAAGGCAGTAGTTGAGCCAAAACCTTCGCAAAAAGTTTCACAGACGCGATCAAAACTGTTTGAAAAGATTGGCTCGAGATACTTCTACTTGGAAAAGAATCTTTCAGTAAATTGGTTTGATGCGTTTCACAGATGTCGTCAAATGGGTGGATACCTGGCTACAATCAACGACGAGAAGGAATTCAAGTTAATCGATTCTACCCGTCCATATTGGTTCGACATCACCTCACTGGCCAATATAAAGACGCTTATTTCCACTCGCACCGGGAAACCTCCACCATACACTAAATGGCATAAATTTCATCCGAGGACCAACGTTTTTATCTGTGCAGCCTTCAACAACGTGCTAATGTGGAGTCATAACTGTTATGATGAATTCTCTTTTATTTGCCAAAGTGACCAATGAGAATCGATACATTTATTATGTTTGCGATATGAATTTCTTATTAGAAAACAAAGAAACTTTTGGGTTTAGGGAGCAATGAACAGAAAGAACTGTGAATAATAAATCAGTTTTAAATGTATAAATTCTTTTTGATTTTTTAGCTTGACTAATATCTTAAACAATGCATTTAAAAGCGGAAAAACAAAAACGGTTTAACTCAAAAAATCTAAAAACAACAAGAAAGGAAGCTAGCACCGGCGAACCAGAGCTTTTACTCTATACCCTTGCATTCATCAAATGTCGAGCATATATATATTCGACGATTGTTCATATGAAATATGACAGCTATATGATGGCTATAGTCGTCTGATTTTTATGAAATTTAATTTAAAATTCGAGATTTGTTACTCTATAGTACAAAAATCATGATCTTGTGATGAAAGACAACGCTTTTATAATTTTATTTCCATTCAAGGGTAGTTAAAAAACTTGATGTTCTGAAATTCATACTGGTGGGTAAAAAACAACGACGCTATCAATTTTTTCCATTATTTATATATATACTAGCAGCCGGTACACGCGGTACATAGTAAAAAAAAAAGAAGGTTATTAAGTTCATTAAGCTTAAATTTAATTCATTAAGTTTTAAATTGCTAGCTATTTGAAAGTCTTTCGTGCATTGGAAACGACATAATCCTCCAGATAGCACCATTATTACTTTTACCCGTATAGGGCCCAATTTGATACTGAGTAATTTCATTATTTATATTATCTCTCCGGCTTTGCACGGGTATAAATTATGTAGCCTATGTCAAGAGTAACAGGTATCATAATTCAATTCTTCCTCGAAATAATAAAACAGGCAAAATGAGGTTATGCCGTTCAGAGGAACACTAATGCATTATTTAAGGAGCTCCATGCATCAGGCATGAGAAATAAAATATTCTCTATAAAACAAACAAGTGAGTTTTGAGGGCATCATTTGATTCTAAAATATTGTAATCACTTAAAGATTTGTCCACAAAGGTTGCTGTGCACTCCGCACTCCCAAAGAAAAGTCTTCAGCACAAAATAAATTCAGATTCCTGAAAAACTCGACCATTTACACATGTTAATAAGGTTTCGGTCACGCATATTTTCATTACTCCTTTGCAAACTGAATCCGTTATGGCTTATCACATATTTAAGAGCTGTAACAAACCGGAATGCAGTTAGTTACGAAGATTAAGTCTTACAGGATTTACACACTCAATATGTGGAGGTACTCCTATTTTGTATGGCTCTTCGCCGTTTGCGGACTGTGGGGAACCCAAGCTCAAATCCAGGAGTCATGCTTACTTGATCAGACTGCCACGCACCAGCAACAGTGGTTCAGAAACACATCGGCAAATCAGGCTGAAGCTAATGCAAAAATAGACAGAATGAAGGAAGAAATGAAAGGTCAAATACAGGCGCTACAGGCGAAAACAAAAAGCCAACAAGAGTCGCTTCGGGAAGTTATGAAGTCTCAAAAAGGCAGAAATCCAACCGAAAATAGACACAATGAAGGATAAGATGGGAGGCCAACTAAAAGAGCTACAGAAGAAAACAGAAGACCTACTTCAGCAGATACGGGACTTAAGTTCTTCTGGACAAAAGGGTTCACAACCGCCATCAAATCAGTTTTCAAGGATTGGCTCGAGTTACTTCTACATTGAAAGGCGTGTTCGAGTAAATTGGTTTGATGCATATAACAGATGTCGTCAAATGGGTGGACACCTGGCTACAATCAACGATGAGCTGGAACTGCAGGTAATCAACCGGAGACTCGATTCAGATGTATTTTGGTTGGACATCAACTCAATGGCCGAAAAAGGAAACTTTCTTTCCACTCGCACCGGGAAGCGTCCACCATTATTTAAATGGCACGAAGGACAACCGGTTAACGGAGTTTCTTGTTGTGCAAATTTGGGCGGCTTGAAGATGTTTACTAATAGTTGTTATGATAAATACTTCTTTATTTGTCAAAGTGACCAATGACCAATATTCTGCTCGTTAATCTCTTTCTTTTCTTACTAGAAAACAAACAAACTTTTGGGTTTAGGGAGCAATGAACAGAAAACATTTGAGCTGTAAATAAATCAATTTTCAATTTATAAATTCTTTTTTGATTTTTTAGCTAGACTTATATGTTAAACAATGCATTTAAAAAACGGGAAAACTTCTTCTGCATCAAACACGGTCCAACTTAAAAATAAAAAAAAAAACTACAATCCAAAACACCAAAATAAAAATAATTTCTTAAAGATTTTTTTTAATCACGACTTGTTACATAGATTTAAAAAAATTTTTTTTCGACTATAGAATTTATTTTCTAAGCTTGTTGGGTGAAATCGAAGCTAAAGAAAAATATTTCAGTTTTTAATGTACGATGTATGATTTTTTTGTGGCAAACAATTTCTAAAGACAAATGTGTCGAGAAAATGTGTTGGTTCCATTTATCATTTAAGAGACTCAACAAGAAAACCATTTCAACTTTTTTTAAATTTAGGAGACCAAAATACATCTTTTGACGAAAGACGCAACTCATCGTATCACTTTGTCAAATCAAAACGGGAGTGGTGGCAGCTGAAGAGCCCGACAGAAATAACGCATACGCCAAGTAAGCCCCGCGAGCAGGGAGCGGAATGAATTTGGGTAAATTTGCAAAAGTACGAACGAAAAGAAAGTACAATAGAAGGAGAAAAGTGAAAGTTAACGCAAACGTTTTGGCCCATCACTGCGGCAGTTTTATGGCCCAATGACGTAGCCAGATATGGCGACAGACTTGCATTGAGAATCGCTATATATACCCGCCAGTATGTACTATAGGTTCGCATTTTATTTTCTCGGTCGCTTTTGCTGAGTATGCAAATTTTTTACTTGGCCGCACTTTAGCCGCATTTGGGCCAGGACTCGGGAGGAGAAGCCCCTGGCCGTGTGTTCGCTGTCAAAATGACAAAATGTTGGTTAAGTGCGACGAGCGCACAAAAGTCAGAATGGCGGGCAAAGAAACGGAAAGTCGAGAAGACAGAGAAGAAGTAGCGACACGACCACTCCAACGATCAACCGACCGACTGACTGACTGACTGACTGAATGACTGACTGAAGGACTGACTGAGTGACGGAGTGACTGACTATATAAAAAGGACACTCGGCAGAAAATACGGCTTGCAGTCGAAATGAGATTCCGAGTGAGCAGCTGGGCCAGCATCAAGTGCGTCATCAATCTCGGCGGCGTTTAGAGAGCGGGAGCTTCCATTCATTAAGTGGCTGCCGAGGAGGATTGACAGGAGCAGGTCCTCATCGCTGAGTGCTTTCAGTTCGCGCTTTGTCTTTGGGCTTTGGCCCTCCTCCACCCGCCACTTCACGGCTGCACCGCCTGTTAGTGGCACTTCTCGGCATCCTCCTGCTTCTCGAAGGACCTTCCCCGAAATCAATCACTTGCTCGGTGAGGCCCAGCATGTTCGAGGATGGTTACCATCCCATCGAGTCCTTCGCGCGTTTCCCTCAGAGACTCAAGCGCAAATGTGTGTTAAAGTGAATAATAAGTTTATGCCAATTTTGTGTTGTGATGGAAGCGATTTGTCGCTTTGTTGGCATTGCCAAACAATCGAAACATCTAAGTGGTTAAATAGGGTTTTTTAAGATTTATAGATAACGTGAAATGGTACAAATTTAAACTTAAAATATACTCACAAGAAAAAGTTAGCATACCTACTTTGTAAAGACGCACATTTATAGATTTATTAATATTTCTTTCAATCGATAATAACAATATAAAAACTGATAGCTATAGGAATGTTGTCCAATTGTCCGCTGAAAATTAAATTTCGCTTATAAATACAAACAAGAACAAGTAAATGCCCTGAATAAATTGTAAATTTGTGTTACACGAAATTACACTTTTAATTGAATAAACGCAACGTCACTTATACGCCACATCAACCCATCTGTATAATAAAAGCTGTTAAAAAAATAAAAAGTACAGATAGCACTATAGATAACACTCTTAATGACACTATGTGGAGCAAAAAGAGAAGTTTTAAGTGCCGACCATTTGAGTCTAAAGATATTGTAATCACTTCAAGATTTGTTCACACAAAATGATGCTGTGCGGGGGTCAAAGATAGTAAAAAAAGCAATCGCGGCCTCTGCGTAAGTCATAGAATCTTAGACACTATTTTCCTATATAGATCGAACACCAGAGAAAGAAATTCAGTTTCCTGAAAAAATCGTCTTTCATTTGGTGGCATTTAAATATGTATGTTGATACAGTTTCAGTCATGCATATTTTCAATTTTTCTTTGCAAACTGAATCCGTTATGGTTTAAGACATATTTAACTGTATCAAACCGTTAGTTAGTTGGTTACAAATATTAAGTCTTACAGGATTTACACACTCAATATGTTGAGGTTCTCCTGTTTTGTATGGCTCCTCACCTTTTGCGGACTGTGGGGAACCCCAGGCTCAAAACCAGCAGCCAAGTTTACTTGATCAGATTGCCACGCACCAGCAACAGTGGTTCAGATACACAGCGGCAAATCAGACCGAAACTCATGCAAAAATAGACAGACTGAAGGAAGATATGGAAGGCCAACTGCAGGCGCAACAGGTGAAAACAGAAATTCAACAACACTCGCTTCGGAACGTTATAGAGTCTCTAAAGGCAGAAATTAAACCGAATATAGAAAAAATGAAAAAGGATATAGAAGACCTAAAAAACGCCATTGTCTTTTATTTGCCAAAGCGACCAATGAGACTATATACTTAAAAAGGTTCGCTATACGAATTTTAATATTCTGCTCATCTTTTTCCTTTTAAAAAAAATCCAAGTTTTGGGATTAGGGAGCAATGAACAGAGTAAATTAGAATAAAACAATTTTCAATTCACAAGTTCTGTTTATTTTATTATCTAACCTAATATCTAAAGCAATGCATTTAAAAAACGGAACACCTCTTTTGTAGAAAAATGGTTTTACATAAAAGTCTAAAAATAAAACCGAAATGAGGGTCAAAACTCCAAAATGCGATATTTTTATACCCTTGCAGAGCAAAAGGGTATTATAATTTCAGTCAGAAGTTTGCAACGCAGTGAAGGAGACACCTCAGACCCCATAAA